GTGCTCAAAATGAGGGCTAAGCAACTAGGTACATAAAATTCAATAAGTTACTTTTAAGATGCTTCCCTTCCATTAATCCCCCCTGCCGTTTTTGTGTATAAGTTTCCTCCTGCCTCACTCACCATTGCTATGAACCCACACACTGCAATTGGAATGGCAATTGTCAATGTATCAAAGACTGGTTGATTTTACCTAGATCAGGTACCAACAGCACGAAGTTGAGAATAATACAGGCTTTAGCTTGTGCTTTTTGTGTCTGCTGGGACCTCAAGCACTTAGCAAAGAAATGAACCTGTAATGAGGTCTATGCTATCATGATTTCACTTCTACTAGAACCTGAGGAACCAGTTTTGAGATGAATATGGATGCTACTATCACACCTACACACCCCTGCTCTGGGAGGAAATGTCACAAAATGCCAAGATCTGAAGTCCGGACTAAAGCAAACTAGGTCAGAGCAGAACTGCAACCTCCATTTTCATCAGTAGCCTCCTGTCCTATTTTTAACTTGGTCTTTAAGGAGGCTTTGTCTCCAATGGCCAGATGTGCCACAGCTGAATCTTTGCAAACATGGCCTTTGACAGAGAAGAGGCTTATACCTGTTCTCAAAATCCAGGGCTTTGAATTTCACTTTGGATCAAATGGCAACCAATGCAGGTCACAGGCTGACTTTTCTTCACACTTTTAGCAAGAATTGCTGCTCAATGAACAATCAGCATGTCAGACCTCCCTTCAGTATGAATACAAAAGCACATTTGTTAGAGCCTTTCTAGCTCAACTTCAACAGCTCTGCCTATTCAGCTTTTGTGCAAAGAGCAGTCCTCATCCCAAAATGTTCTCCAAATTCCATCTTCAAATTCCTAACTCTCTCAAACTGGTATATAGTACCATACATCCAATAAACTCCCATGGATGCATAGCCATGTATCACATTAATACTTTAATTTGGATTTATCTTGTTATTTTTACATCTACTCCTTCTCAATTTAATTTTTCAGTTGTGTTCTCTATAGTTTAAAACCTTACAGATCAGGAAATAATGGCACTTAAATTTTTTTGTCTTTCATGTTATGCATGGTAACACCTCTGGCTGCAAATACCTACAACTAACACTAGTATTATATTGCTGAACTAGTCTTAAAATAGGTACAGCACCCACAGCGACTACAGCTTTGGAGAAAGAAACAGGAAAAAACCTTTTATTGGCATGAAAAGCAGCAAGTGCCATAGCAACTGCTTTGGAAAATCAGACTGTTTTTCACCATTTTCACCATTTTTCAGTAGGTGTAAAAGGTACTTCAGTTTGGAAGAAAAAGGTTTGTAAAATCTTAATAATTATTAAAAAAACATAAGATAAATAAAGACCTGAGCAAAGACAAATCTTCATGTGTTGCTGCCTATGTCGTCACCAAATTGTATCTGTCTTTTGATCTCACCAACTCCAAGCAGTGCAATCATAGATGTCCCAGCTGGCAGTTCTTGTGGTACATTTTCTAAGAACATCTAAAGTGCTCCCACTTCAGTTGGCCAAGGAAGTCTATGCTTAGTTTAGTTTTTCTATCTCCATTAACCACAGACACAGCAAAAAAGATTAAATAAAAAAACCCAACCCAACAAACAAAAACCCAAATGAACAAACAAACAAACCCCACAAAAAATTCACTAAAATTGATCTTCCACTATATTGCAAAAACCCTACAGAGAAATAGGCATCAAGCAGTGATGTGACAGGAATTAATTTTTATTCCACTTTATTATTTATTCCACTTTCCCTGGCACACAATATGGGCTCCACTTATGCTAAGAAAGCCTGAGGCAATATGCAACTGTCTGCGGTCAGAACAACTATCTGCAAATAAACAGCAACAAGTATATTGTCTGTTCTGAATGAAGCATAAATCCTTTGGGGATCTGGTTGTTTTGATTCAGTTTTCCTCCTCTTAGCTCATTCCCCTGAAGATTGGACACAAAAGATAAAATAAAGATGTCCCTGATATTGCAAAGAGAATGACAGGACAGTATCTACTTGATTTCCTTTACACCCCATGATACATAAAGCAAATAAAAAGGCCAGGAGGACAGGAGACTCAGTGACTCAGACCACACACAGTACTTGGTTTCTCTCCTTTATTTCTGACTCCTTGAGGGATCACTTGTTACCTGTTATCAATCCCAGTGGGATAAAAGGCAAGAAAATTATTGGAACTCCCTGTAAAGCACCTGGAATCATAATGGGAGAGAAATACAGCAAAGTCTCATGGGAAAGTAAAAGGACAGCAACATTTAAATCTGCTCTTCATTACTCATAGCATAATCTCTTTCCCATTTTTATAAAAGGTTTATTAGAAAAAGCAGATCAATCAGCTGGATATCTGATATTTTCTTTCCCTTCAGGCCTTCTCTTTTCAGAATATGATTGTTCAACAACTGGTCCAAAAAGTGGATCTGACACATAAAGTGCCTTTAAGAGAATGAGCTGCATATTGGGCAACTAAATCTTTTGTTTACCTTGGGACAGGCAAGGGAAGTGGAGGTATGTCTGAGCTGACTGGCAGGGAAACACAGCTATCTTTGGCATTTGTGACACAAACAGCTTTGCCTGTCCATCTCTGCATATGAACATCACTGGTGATCAGACATCAATCACTTGAAAAAGGAATCACTCTGGCTGCTTGAAAAGTAGCTTTTTTTACACCACATTAGCCTCAATTACCATGGCTTTCCTAGAGGGAGGTTGAAAGAGTGCCTAGAAGTTCTCCATGTGGTACCAGTCAGCAGTTACTGCTGTTGTCTATGTCAGGAGAGATCCGCAATTAAAAGGGACAGCAAATGTAAAATAAAAATATGAAAAAGAAAATTAAAGCAGGAAACAGAAATAGAACTGCACTAAGACATTATGACAATTCACTTGGAGGAAACACAACTTCATCATTAAGTCAAAAAATGGCCCAAAAAAATGCAAAGAAAGAGAAATATGTCATACACTGGAAATTGGTCTGGTGATGTAATGTTAAGAAAAATCACTGGATGCAGTTTACTGAATAGTTGGGTAAGGGAAAATATTCATACAGTCTCCTCCTGACTGTTATCCTAGATCTGACCTTCTTTTCTATGCTCCCTTCCTCTCACATACACACAACTTCAATGACTAAAAACATGGGGGAAAAATGAAGAGGGCAACAAGTACAGCCTGAAAGGAGGTGTTTCACCAACTGGATCCCAGCTCCAAAAGAGTACCTGGGGCTGCTGGGCAGCCCTGAACTGCAACAAAGTCAGCTGGATTTTTAGCACAATTGTTGATAAACCCAAATGAAGAAAGCGAAACTCCTGTACCCTTCACAGTTGTTTGCCTCCCCAGGATTTTGTACTGAATTTTTTACTACTTTTTTTTTCTTTTTTCCCAGAAGAGAGAATTCAAATTATTTCACATATCAGTGGTAACATGGTAACATGGCTTCAATACTCCAGCCAGGAGTGACAAAGTGACAAGTACAGAAAATTGTTTTCAAAAAAACATTTAATCACTTAGCATTCACATCTTTGAACTGCTGCATGAAGTGCTACTTTACCACCAAAGCCCTTACAAAACTTGCAGCCACTGTTCATGATATTAACAGGAACATGATGGTGGAATTTACATTAGACTATTAAAATTGAAGTAGCTTTCAGTTTCCCTTTATGCAATTAACCCAGCAACAACAGCAAGCACTTTGAAATAACATTACTAATAAAAAAATTCATGTTTGAGACAGCAAAGCAGTGAAATGCTATGATATTTCTTATGTAGGGGGATTTAACACTACTTACTGCAGAGTCTATAAATCAGTTTCTCTACAGAACTCTTAAGCCACAGGTGCCAAATATAAATCTTTTTCTCATAATCCCATTCTTGGTCTTTTCATGTTATTACTGGACTTCCTGGATAAATTGTTGCTAAAGTAAGTTTGGTCTTTTTTCCTACATAATTTGCCAAACCATCTGCTGGAATGCATCTGTATTGTCCTCTTACTAGAAGAATTTCTGTAACATTCCCATTGACCTAAATGCAAGTTTTGGCCTGAAAAGATGACACGTTTCTGTGAATCTGGTAAAGTTCTTGAAACAGGGATACTAGAAATGAAGTGCCCTTCTGGCCCCTTTCATCAAGCTCCAGGCTGAATCCCCTTAGGAATGTGATGGCATTTCTTCTCCCTGCTTTTTTCTAAAATCCTATTCTAAGCTGCTTAAAAAAAAAAAAAATCTGACCAAAATAACCCAGAATAACCCAGAAACTTAAGTAAAGACAGCTGGAAAGATGAAAGAGTGATAATGTTTAGATGTAAACCAAGCAACATGTTCCAACAACTGGCAGGAACTAAATTTTGTCCAAGAAATATATGTTATTAAAGAAATACCATATCAGTGGGGAAATCCCTGAAACCACAATACAATTACATTGTTTAAAGTCATTATTTGAAAAGTATTATCATTACTTAGAGAAAAACAGAGTTTGCATGTTTAAATAGTAAATATGACTGTGGTACATCTTACCACAGTAAGTCTTTTTTCTTATAGCTGGAGAAGAAAAAAAATAATAACCATGGGACAAAATTGATCACTTCCAGGGTAGATACCATAGCCAGGGTAGATACCATAAGCCATCATTAGGCAAGCAATTAAAATGAAAAAAATAGATTAAAATGTGATCAATATAACATAGTTGTATTGCCTATATTTTAAAACATAGTTTGCAGAGCCTCCAGCCCAAAGCAACTTCTCCTTTTGCCCCTGATGCAGATGAATCTTGCTCTAAGCTAAGTCCCATTTTATGGCAGACACAGTGCATTTAACTTGCATCCTTTAATCTGGCAAAATCCTTGGATGCACCCAAAATTCCATTTAGAGTCATTATTTCAGGGATCCATATATAATCATGTCCCTGCTGTATCAGTGTGCTGTGTTCTTGGTTTCAATATATACTTCTAATTTTTTAGCTTCTGTCGTCATCAGGGTTTCCTTACCTGTACAGATTTTCCCATCGTAGGTCTCGCACACCCAGTCGTGGCACTCGCAGAGCGGACCGTAGTATTTGCCAGACTCAGTCACTTGGCAGATGCAAACTCCACACTCACACCTGCCTCTGTCATTGCACAGCTTCCCCCCTGGGACACGGCACCTGAGCTCAGACTCAGCCCGGGACAGCCGGCAGGAAGCAGGAATTCCCAAAGCGCTCCTGTAGGGGACAGCAACCAGAATAAGCAGCAGCCAAGCCAGGGGCTGCAGCTCAGAGCTGATGAGAGCTTGGCTCATTTAAAACCACTCTGTCATTGGCTTCAGCCAATACCCAGAATATTTTCTTACCACCTCTTCAGCTACAGTTGCAAATTATTACTTGCCTCAAATCACCCAGTTTTCTTCGTTTCCATCTGAAACCTCATTGCTACCCACAAGAATGCTTATACTTTATTTTAGTTACCTTTTTAACTACACTGGCCTCATCTACTTTCCCATCAGGCATATCTGGTATATATGCACAGACACTTATAGTTTGATTATCCATCATGAAACATTTTGGTCTTAATTATTTCAAAAAGTTTAGAGACATCCAAACACCTGGGGAGCATAACAGGAATATATATCATACAGCACATTTAAGGTTGATTCTAATAAAATATGTTTGCCAGAGTAATCCTTCTGGTTGTCAGACATCTATGTCCATGCTTCCAATGGAAAAGGAAACCAAAGTAATTATGGCTTTCCACGCAACACTGTAGGTTGTGGCTGTGGTTTGAATAAAGACAGAATCCAGCTCTAGATCTGTAGATTTGCAATTGTACCATGCAATTGTGCCATGCATGGGAGCACATGGAGATCAGGACTTTCAGGACATACTCAAGGAAAATCACACTTTGTCTCATCAGGAGCTGAATCATAGGAAGAAAGACAAAGGACTGCTCAGACCAAAAACAGGTCTCCACAACACTAAGGAATACTGAAGATGTAGAGTAATAGAACCCACAGTTCTCAAATAGATTTTGCAAGGCTCTGGAGCAAAGGAGCTGCTGGCTGTGATGGAGGTGGAGAGTGAAGGGCAGTGCACCTCACTGTGCCACTGCACCGAAGTGCAGCAATAATCAGGGTTCTGTGGTTAGGTGCCTGCTCCACTCAAGCAGCAGAATCTGGAGGTTTGGGTGTGAAGAGTCATAACTAGCCAGCTCTTCCTCCTTCAGTGCTTTCAGAGTTTGCATTTTGGGCATCAAATGCATTGTTGCAAATACCTCTGCAGTCTGCACATGCCCCTACCTCGAGGTTCCCAGTGACCCAGAGCGCTTCCCTCAGTGTCACCTCGAAGGAGGCAGAGGAAGAGCCAACTCAGTGCTCCACCGCTCCCTCCGCAAGCCCAGCTCCCACACTGCTGGCACCTGAAAATCAGTGGCACCCCCCGTGGGACGTGAGAGCCGCACTTACCGCAGGGCCGGGGGCGCGGCCGGCAGCGCGGGGCCCAGCAGCAGCAGCAGCAGCAGCAGCAGCAGCCCCAGCGGCTCCGGGGCGAGCATGGTGCGAGCTGTGCTGAGCCGCACCTGGGGCGCTCCTGCAGACGGGCGGACGGGCGGGCGGACCCGGCAGGCACGCGGAGAGCTGCTCTGGACAAGCCCGGCTCCAGCGCTGCTCCCCCCGTGCTGCAGCGGCTCCGATTAGCTGCCTGGGAGCGGGATTTGGGCAGCACTCTGGGAAGGAGGCCGGTGCCAAACCCCGAAGTTTACAGTCTAGGCAGGGAAGTAATTAGAAACAGTTGCGCAGCCAGATGGTTTATTTTGATGTTTTAAAAGTGGCCCGTTCACAGATGTGAACGAACTGTCTCGTTCTCAAAGTAGAGGCACTGTAAATATTTGAGGTATGTGTATCCCCCTGTCCCTTGACAGACGGCGGCTTGGGATAATCTGTGAAACTTGGACCGACCGAGAGACAGGAGCGGCGCTCCCCAGCTGCAGCATCCCTGCCTGCCTCCCCAGGTCCGTCCCTTCCCTCCTTACCCTGAGGTCACCTGCTCACGTCACAGCACCGTGCGACCCTGCAGGCTGCCAACCTGCACCAGCACGAGTGACTGCACATTAAAAGTATTATTAGTTAGCCTTTTCCTAATGCCTTATAAAACACAGTCCAATACTTCATCTCAGCAGTGGGAGCTTTTTGAATTGCTTTAAAACAAAACTAAGAGGAAGGATAGCCTCTCCAAATGAATCAACTTTGGCAGATATGGCCACTGCACTTCTTTATGCTGCAGGAAATTTCAGATCTCTCTGGCTGTCCTGGGAAATTGCTGCTTGCCTGATACATCCCTGAGATGGAAAGCTTTTAAAGAAACAAACTTTGACCACAAAAGATGGTAAGTTAGAGGTGTCCTAGTCTACACACACACATGCATTTTTTAAGCAGGCAGCTGAAAGAGGCTTTCACTGGTTTTGAAGCCAGTATTGGAGATTAAAGCCCTTAGTATCTTTCTCAGAATGCAAAACTCTTGTTTTAATTTCACACTAAATATTTAACACACCAATGATTATACTGTTCCAGAAAACATTTTAAGATTTAATTAAAATTCTGACTCAGAGGCTGCCTTTTCCATGAGTTTGTGTGTCTTATATTTTACATAGTGAACTCAAGGCTACAATTCACAGCATTCCTGCTAACATAACTAGTTCTGCTAGTTATATTCCTGGAAAAAAAAAAAAAAAACATCAACCATTTCACATGGTTCTGCTGGCCTTATAAATGAAAAAAAGAACCTTTAAAATCTAGTTTGGGGCCTGTTTTCATTCATGTACCCACTTCATTGGAGGATAAAACTTTATCAAAAATCAAAAGAAAAGACTGGACAAAATCTGCTCTAGCATATTTGTAAACATATATTATTAGCCCCTGAAGATATACAGGAATACCCAAATATTATTCCAATGGACCATTAAAACACAAGATTTTTGTCATACTTTAGTAAGTTATCTTGAAGTTGCGAAGTTCAACTGTCTACCCATAGTGTACTACCTTCTTTATGACACAATACAAGCAAGTAGAATTAGAACACAAAAAAATCTAAAAGTCCCATATGCAGCTGTTGCATACCGAATCCATTTTTTACCAGTTTTGCCACCCTTTGTAGTATATTTCATATTACAAATGTGTTAAAATACTTTCTCAAGCAATGCAAATCATAAAAATCCTGCATTGAGTGATATGTTGGCTTCAGTCCTGTGAATGTTTACAGTCCTGCTAACCCCATGTGTTTGACTTGCTCTGATGGATCTAGTGAAAAGGGAAGTAATATTGGCAGGCCAATCAATAAATATTTATTTCTGACAGTCCTTGAACTTTGAAGTCCGTACTTAATGCAGCACTATGTGTTCTAGCTGTGTGATAGTTTTTGAAATGTATTTATAATGCTGCAGTAAAAAATATTCATAAATTAAAACCCTTTAGATTACAGAAAGGAGCACTTTTAAGAACAATGTGATTGTCAGAAATTGTACTGCCTGAAGTCTCAATTTAGAGAAGAATAAAGAGAAAGCTTTGCATTTTAAACAATAGTAATTCCCTTTTAGCATTAAATTTATCTTTAATCCACAACTTTAAAGGCTGCCATCTGTTCATCTTCCTCCTTTTTCCCTGAGTAGACTGTTGCTGACGGGTATTTAGAAGACTTTCAAGCGGACTACAAACTGTACGAGAAGAAGACATTCACCATGATATGATGAACTTATCACTGTCTTATTTTTTTTTACATCTGTCATGTTTTGAAGAAATACACACCTTTTTGCTGTGGAGTTTTTGAGTTTGGAGAAGGCATACTTACACAGTTGAAGGATGCAGTATTTGAAATGTGCAGTCAGAGCTTAAATTTAGTAAATGCTCTCAATATTTACCTGTCTCTAATAAAATATCTCAGTGCTCCCTTAATAGATTTTAACATTTTATCAGATCATTGTTGAATCATTTAAGCCTAGAATGTTTGTATGCATGCATGTATAAACATGAATGTAAAATATATATATATATATATATATATATGCACACACACCTGATGTGTATGTATGTATGTATTCAGGAGCTAATTGGCTTCCAAACAGGCTGTAAATTCAATTTAAAAGGAGTCAGTCTCTTTCTAAAGGGGAACCTGACATGCTGCCTTGAGAACTGCTCACTTCATTTCAGCCACTCCTGTACAAAACCCCAAGGAGCTTTGTTCTCTGCTGGATAACATACACCTACACGAAGCACAGTGCTTGTAAAATGCATATTTTCCTATGTATTGGAGTCTCAGACTAAGGCTATAGACCTGTAGGTGCTTGGTAAATGTATAGTTTACAATTGGTAATGCCATTTCCTGCAGAATAAAGGTTGAAAAGAGAAAGTCAACATATTGCTGATGAGAAGGAGATGCTGGAACGCACCTGCTAATACTAAATTGCCTTTTCAAAATAGGCATAGGCTTGAAAAATACTTGTCAGACTCAAAATTACTTCAAATAAGGGCATGGAATAAAAAAAAATAGGTGCTGTTAAG